CAGGCCGGCCTGCTCCTGGGCTGCCCATCCTCTGCCCTGCACGCCTGCCTGCGGAGCGGTGCTTTTTTGACCTCTGTTTACTTCAGAGTGTTTCAGACATTTCCTGGTGCTTGGGCGGGACCTGGTGCAGGAGCAGCACACGATTTCCTCAGCCACCCTCTGCACGACCTTAGCCTCAGCTCATTGACACGGCCTGTGGCCGAGGCATCACATGCTGTACAGCTGCTCCCGTCTTCCTCACCTGCCTCTTCTGTCTCTTGTTTTCTAGCAATGCTTTCTGTCACCTGGGCACTATGGCCCTCTCGTTTTGCCTCACTGATGCTCTGAACTTAACCTAGCATTTCCCCCCACAATGGCTGCACGCAATGTCCAGAGAACCTTTGCATCCCCTGTCCCACCTGCGGCCGCCATGCTGCTCTGCTCCCTGGAGAGCTTGGCTTCGCCAGTTGGTGACGAGGACAGGCCAATTTTTAGCACCTTTTATGAGAGGTTGGCTGTCCCCAGAAGACTTCTATGGAGTGCAGAAATGACTAAATCTGGTGAAGCTTTGCTGCAGAGGAGCCTTCAGCTCCAGGCAGAGGCTGGCAGTGGGCTCGCTACGCTGTGATGCACTTCACCAACACAAAACCAGACAACAGGTGTACACACTCAGTGCATTTTTGGTAGCTTTAGTCATATGAAACAGTTTTAAAATAACCAGATCCCTTTTGTTTCTTGCTGCTGCAGCTGAGTAGGTGAGGGAGCTCAGAGATCTGTGAGGAAATGGATGTTGGGGGGCTGAAAGGAAGCGTTTCCCTGATCCATCGCCCAGATCAGACAACCCCAGGCTTGTAACTGAAATTCACAGGGACAGCTTGGATCCAGCTTCTGCCCCGAGCTGCAGGGAAGGTTTGGTACATGGTGCAACGCAGAGCCCTTGTTGAAACATTGGCCGTGATTTGCAAACCCTCCCAGTGAATGGGGGGAGGGGGGGGTTAACCCATAACCGCTGTTAGCCCTTCATGGGTGTGGGGCACAGGACAGGGAGCCCCTGGGGAGAAGCGGAGCTTAGCCTGGGGGGTTTCATGCTGCAGGGGGTGTTCTGTGATGTGGGGAAAGGCAGGGCGAGGGGCTTGCTGCCTTTGCTGGAGTCAGGGGCTAGGACATCCCACTCGGAGCTGGCTGTGTGACCACGTCGGGGAACAGGGGGAGCAAGAGCTGCTCTCGTGCCAGGCGATGCAGATTGACAGCTTCAGAGAAGTGAGGCCAAACGGGCCGTACGGTGTTGGCCCTGCCTGGAGATACCCTGTGCCGTGTCTTGCGCCTTCTCACTCACAGCATCGGCAGCGGATGTGACTTCCCCAAATCACCCTGGGTTCAAACAGCCCTTTGGGTGGCGGGGCTGGTACAGAGAAGGAAGGTGTGATTGGTGGGACAGGGCCACCGCTGCACTTAAAGCCTCCGACTGCAATCGCTGCGAGCAGATGAGGAAGTGTCCTGGCTCACTGTGAGCCGAGCCCCAACCATGCAGCCCCTCCAGCGTGCCCACCTGCTCCTCCTGCTCGCCCTGCTTGTCCTCTGCATGGTAAGAGAAACGCCACGGCACAGGGCCCCGCAGAGGCTGGGGGGTTCCAGCCAGCTCTGTCCCATGGGCGCGACGGCAGTCGGGGGGCTGTAGGGTTCAACCGGTGGGAGAATTTCTGCTGAACTACAGCTGGAAACCTGGGTGTTTGACTTTCTATTTGACTTTAAACCTGGCTGCCTTGCCAGAAGCTTTGCTCTGTGGTCCGTAAGGTCTAAATACTTCCATACATTGCTTTTTTTGAAAAGCATTTTTTTACTTAAGAGCACCACACATATCTGTAATCTTTGCGCTTAGCTCTCCACCCCATCTTGCAGCCTCTCCTCTGTATGCGGGCCCCAGCCCTGTCCCCAGCCCATGCCTGGTGCGGGGATGCTGAGCACGGCTGTGGGGATGCTGGGGATGGCTGTGGGGCTGCTGGGTGGGTGCACAGCTCTGCAGTTTCCTCTCGCCTCTCCCCCCGGGGGTTATTTTCCTCCCTGCTGGGAGGCTCCACAGGGGCTCAGTTCAAGTGCTGCACTGGTGGATGTCGGCTCTCTCCTAGCAGGGACCATTGTGTGGGAGGGACGAACGTGCCGGCACTTTCAGGGAGGGTGATGCTATTTGGAGCAGCTCTTGGGATGACTTTTTTTTTTTCTACAGCATGTTGGTAACAGAGCCAGATTTGTCTTGTCTGTGGTTGTTTTGCTCACAAACTCCACGCATCTGCAACCTGCTGCTGGCTCCGTGGGGTGCATTTGTGTTTCAGGAGTCCCACTCTGTGGCTGGGAAACCAGCCAAAAACCCTTGTAGCTCAAGAATGCCTGTGAGGGGGCAGAGCTGCGCGCTGGGGCCCCATCCCTGGCCCTGCCCTGGCTCCGGCAGCACCTGAGGAGCGGTGTGAACCAGCATGGGGGCTGGTTCACTGAGAGAAAATGGACTCCCTTTTCCAGCAGACCAGGGCAGTGCTTGTCACTGCAGTCCCCATTCACAGGTGTAATGCGCAGCCGCATACACCGGGAGTCCCAAGAAAGGACCAAAACCCCAGCGACGGTGCTCCTACACAGCCAGGGCGGGAGGGATTCACACAAACACCTTCATTTGGAAGGTCCCAATCTTTAGAGAGGGAAGGAAACTGCCCTGTAATCACCATCCCAGCTGTGTTGCATCTCACACACCGGCTGCAACATCCCTGCTTGCAACAGCCCACAGTGCTGGCGGGGATGGGGGTTCCTCCTCTTCCTCCCCCTTGCTTCCAGCATGAGCATTTCCCAGCTCTACTCCCGCACCCCACATCCTCCACTGCAGGGCCCATGGGCTGCCACGTCCCCAGCCACTTCCTCGCAGTAGTCTGAGGGGCAGAGACCGCGCTCACGGCTTCTCCTTTCCCTCCCTACAATTTCTAAAAGCCACAAGAGGGATGTGGGGGAGAGCTCACTTCGTTCCCTGCATTGGGAAAACCCAGAAGCCAACGGTGATTTCTGTTGTGGCATGAAGGAGAACCTGCCAGTGGAGAGGAGGCCGTGTGTCCCCCCTGGGAAGGGGCAGCGTGGGCACTGGGGTCCCCCCTGGCTCCTTTCTATCCCCAGGGCAGCTGGGGGAGGGCTCTTGGGGGGGGGGGGGGGGGGTTCCACCCCATTCTGCTGTCTGCTGTTTTGGAGCGATGCCCGATTCTCTCGTTTTTCTTTTCCAGCCCCTTGGTCAGGCGGAGACAGAGGTGGTCACACGCACCTCCCTCACCACTCCAGGCCCCCTTGCAAAAAGCCTGAGCCCCCCCAGCGGCAGCCCACCCCTCCTCTCCCTCGCCCTGGGGCTGGCTGCGGCTTTCTTCCTGCGGCTGCGCTGACTCGGAGGGGGCCCACAGTGCACCCCAAGTTCCCCGGGGTGCATGAAGAAGCCACCCCCCAGAATGACATCCCCTGCACCGGCACCTCCTTGGACCCTTGCAGCATGAAGGACCAGCCAGCATGACGCCATCACGCCCGTCCCTGCCTCCCTCTCCTCCGTGCTCCCCTCACCCTCCAGCCTCGAAAACAAATCCCGAAGCTGCCCTGGCTTGAAGCAAGGCCCAAGGACTGGCTCAGGAGCGGGCCTGCTATGAGGCTCAGAGAAATAAATCCTTGGTGTAGACGCCTCTGGCTCATGTCCGCTGCGGGGCTTGGAGCAGGTTTGGTAACGGGGTGTGGGGACCCCCAGCACCGGCTGTTTACCCCAGGGGTACAGCCAGGCCTGAGCCCCGCTCAGGTGAGGGGGTGAGATGAGGGTGCGC